CCCTAGTTAGAACTAGTTTTTACTAAATTCCTTTGTAAAACTAGAAATACCTAGTCAAAACTAGAATTGATCACTGATATATTTGATTTTCAGGTAAAACTAGTTGTCCCTCCGAGCTTTAGTTAAAACTAGCACTAGAGAAACTAATTTGGGATTGAGAAAGAGATGTAGTTTTAAAAATATTTATTAAAAAGATCTATCGACACAGAGCCATGCACCTATTAAAAATAATAATCTTACACTAAAGGAACATTTTACTGAACATCGACATAAAGTAGTTGTTAAAATGACAATATTAATTAAAAGTAAATAAAATAATCAAACAAGTCAAGAGAACACAACCATTAAATTTAAAAAAGCAACATTGGTTAACCTATAATAAAAAATAATCAAACAACCTTAAAATTTAAAAGGGTTGAGGATCTAGTTGCTATTGCAACCAATCAGAATAAGTTTCGATGAACTTTAACTTCGGTCGGAACAGTTTTAACTGACTTGCTTTGGAAAAAGGCGTTTTCTCTAGTACCAACTAGTTTTAACTGATTAAATTTTGAGTATTAGTAAATTCTAGTTTTAACAAAGACATTTAGTAAAAACTAGTTCTAACTAGGGAAAACGCGTTTATCTAAAAACTGGTTTTAACTGTAATATATATACCATGACGTTTTGAATATCTTTCTACAATAAATTCAGCCCACAATCGTAATTTCGTTTAGGGGTGAGGCATTAAAAATGTACACAGCGACCTTTTCATAACAATATTACACTATGCATAGGTGTATTAATTGTGATAAGTATACATGGATGTAACAGGACTTCGACCTCTGCTCTTTCCAATTATTGCAGAAACTTTTCCACTGCTGTCTCATCTTTGCATTCGCATACAAAGAAAATTACCGCGCCTTATTATTACTGCAACTCCTCCGTTTATTACAACGAAAAAATAAACTTTCACCGGTTCGTGTTTAGATAATAAGCGTGGGTTGATGCCCGACTTATCCCCGACATCTTCTTTGTCTGCTAATCTATCTTCAGTTTTCGTTTTGATATCGCACGTAGCAGTACATCGGTACACGTTAACTGGACCCTGCCATCAACGTCACTTTAATGTAAACAATTTATATACACATTAGCTCATTTTTATCTACAATGTGAAGCACATACTTTTGTGGACAATATTGAATTAGTCATAACCGTTACCAAAACGTTGTCAAACTAAATTAAAAATCATTCAGGATAAATAACAATTGCAATGTCGAATTATTCCTTTTTAGTCTGGATTATCTATTTTCTTTTTCGTTGATATCAAAAGAACGTTATAACATTAACTGGAAAATATTCTAATCGTAGTATATTTTAAGAGATAATTCTTTAAATAAGTGTTCACGATTTTTTTTTTCTTATTAATTTATATTCAATTTCTGATGAAATCTCTAGATAGCCCAGTTCAGTTATAGAACTTAGTGTCCAAAAGGAAAAGATCTGAGACAGAGATCGAATGAGTTATGTTTCTAGGGTCAAAGGATGAGCTTTACAGTCTCCTACACACACACACACATATATACACATATATATATATGCGACCTGAATCCGCACGTGAAGTGCAAAGACCAAAGACCTCTCGCTTTCACCGTTCTTTACAGTTGTGGTTGTTGTTGTTGCTAAAGCCTGATGAAGAGATATGTGTGATGCTTAAATTAAGGCCATGTTAGCCGTTCGTTTAATACTGATTATGAGATGTTATTCCATGAATAAGTTTAATACGCATGGTTTTGGACTGATGCAGTTGATAGCGATTTGTTGCGTATTCTCATTCAGATAACTAATTATTAATTAATAAGGTCTAATGAGAAAACTAATACATAATCAGTTAGTCTTAAAAAAGAAACTCTGATTCACTTTTTTGAACGCTAGTTAGTATGCAATTAATGACAGTATTTATTAAGTTCAGTAAAAGTTAAATGTTTAAAAGTGTTTATCTCTAGCACGATGAGGCGGTTTTGAAGGTCTATGTTTTAGTTACCTTTACTGCCAAAGTGACGATTCATTTAAAAACGAATTTCAATTTATGTTTTAGTGCAATTGCTATCGAATATTTCTAAAGTTTAAAGTCAAAAAGGTCTTTTATAGCGTGACGTTACCCACAAGGAAACCTAAAATATAAATTTCGAAATGTAAATTGTTATTTACTGTAGGTACCTACATAACACAAATAGAGCATACAATCCACTTCAAAAGTTCAACAATTTTCGAAATGTTGCTAGATTATTAGCAAAACACGCTCTATTTATCTACAAACAAATCGTAGCAATTAATGCAGAAATTTCTAATGACCCAACTCTCATTACTTAAAACCAAGACAACGGTCGAATTTGTTAATTTATTAATATACGAAAAAAATGCAATTTTATATTTAACAAAAAACGTTGAATAACTACTTTAATCTCTACGATTAAATAAGACAAATTTCTAATCTTGCTTAAAAGAACAGTTTTTCAATTTTACTAGGGGATTACCATAAAGTTTCAAATCTTGTTGATCAAAAATCTATCGGTTGTTACATACAAAACGTGTCGTGCGATCAGACGCGCTAATTTAGAGACCGATATCGTGAGATTTAATTTAATCTTACGTCAGTATAGAGTAATTAAACTCCTAAATGCAAAGGCTTACTTTTTAATTTAATAAACTCCACTTCGAATCCTTGTTTATTCGTTGATCCACTGAGCGAGGCAGTTGCGAAATAAGTGCATGGATGTTTGTTTATTTCAGACCATGCAATCGTAAATTAAAACCTTCAGATGAGTGCAACGGATTGTTCTTTAATTGAAAATAGCTTTTTTACACGAATCTTGCGTACATTGTACGCCGCCGTACAGACTTTCTAAACTGTGTGCAAGACACTCTGAGATTTCAAAACTGTACACATCGAATACACAGACACGTTTTATGGAATACGAATGAGAAAATGTCAAACGAACGAACACAATTACACTTGCAGTAAAAAAGGAAGGAATTCAGTGAAAAACTTATTTGTTACTACTTGTGACTAAAAAAATTATTCGAGTTAGGAAAGATTTTGAGTTACTTATTATATATATATACATATATGTACATCTATCTATCTATTTATCTAATGAACTAACTTGAACTCATCATTTAATTGTTATATTACGAATAAGGAATATGCCGTAAATAGCTAAAGCATTTCCAGTGGTAATCTTTTGAAATAGAATAAAAATACCTAAAGGCCTCTACAAACTATTCAATAAAATGTAGTGAGCACTAATATTAGATGACGCAAATGGTCGGCGAAACGACTGAAGAAAATCTACAACCATTTTAGCTTAATTCTTACTTAAAATTCACATCACAGAGGGTTTCCGCCTTAACCGCTCATTGATATCTCCAACTACAATACCCAAAAAGTAATAGAAACCTTTGAAAAAAACAATCGCAATTATCATTGTAAGGATAAGTTCGGTGAAAACGTTATTTTTAGAGGCTATAATGTATGCCTTCGAAAAAATTTCTTATTGGGTAAATTAAAATATAACTAAATTTGCAAATGAACAAATTTGTAACAGGCACTAAAAATCACTAAAAACTGTTTAATGATTAAAATGGTCACACTAGCTTTGTTACTTTTGTTAATCTAGCAATAGTTTATAATTCCAAACCTACAATTTTATCTATCTATATATATAAAAATGAATTGCTGTTCGTTAGTCACGCTAAAACTCGATAACGGCTGGACCGATTTGGCTAATTTTGGTCTTGAATTATTTGTGGAAGTCCACGGAAGGTTTAAAAGGTGAACAAATATGAAAGTTGTTAACTATCTTTCAGATTATTTTTATGTAGATTGATAAATCTTAGGTTTTGTCAAATTAAATTTCTGAACGCAACCATAATATTTGACATTTGTCAACTAAGTTTATTTTATACAAAAATTTAGGTCTGTTATATATCGATTGAGGCAGTACGAAGTCTGCCGGGACAGCTAGTAGTCAATAAATCTAATTTATCATAATATACGTATAACTTGCACAATTTCCTCAATTAAAACTGTTCAAAAGATCGTGAATTAAATGCATTCGCTTCTTATATCTACTAGTCTACGATATAATCAATTTATTGTAATATGTAAAATGTAATGTTGCACGTTCAATCTTTCATTAATTAATATTTCCATGCAAAACTTTCACAATTTCTTTTAATAAATCTGCTCGCGGATGATCCATAACGTTTTTGTATTTTATTAAAAAAAAAAAACAAAATGTAAGAGAGAGAGTGGCATTACTTATTTACCTACTTAACGATAAGTAAAAAAGGCGCGAGTACTCATGCGAAATGCAACAAGGAAAATTACGGTAAAAGCGTGAAATACAAAATGATTTTAGCGACTTCTAATAATAATTGAGTGCAGCGACGTACGCGCTCTTTAGACGAAGACTTTGACGGCCCATTTGTCCGATGACGAGGTGAATAACCTCGACTAGCAAGAAAAGGAAGTCGAACATTAAAAGAATACCTTAAAAACTTGACGGTGCTACGGTACCTATAAAACACCTATCAACCGAAGTCTGTTATATAATGATAAAAAGCGAGAAAGACGGATCTATCTGCTATCTAGCTATTTTCCCTCTTTTCTTTTCGTTTCTAAAAACACGTTTACGCAATTACAATTTGCCCGTCTCTCACCAAATTCGGAGAGGGGATGGTAATTGTCTGTAATTAGGATCTAATAATAATAATAAAAACAACCCGTTGATAGCGACAATGCTGTTATAACATTCGTCTCCTCTAATTGAGTAAGATAGGCGACTTTACATAAAAAGATGTTGCAACTTCTTCGATGAGCTATTAAGATAGACTAGAAAGATGTGATAAGAATTAGGTAACCTGATGGAGGAAGAACAGTGAAACGTTTTTCTAAAATGCACTAATGCAACTTGTTATCGTTCCCAATTACACGACTCCTCTTATTTATTTTTTAGGAAGAACCTATCCAACGACAAGCCTCTTCAGACGTTCTTCGCACGGAGGAGAAAGTCAAAGAGGTGCAGGATAATGGCATAGCTCAAGATAACGACGACAACAACGACAATAACAATAACAATAGCAACAACAATGGAAAAGATGATACAAAAGATACCGAGTCTGTTGAAAGCAACGAAAATTCTTCAGAAAACGATTTATCCGATGATTCAGGTCCAGCTAGTCAATTTCCATTCGATATCGATCAAATCATCGAAGCTCTCGTAGAGAAGAATCAGAGATCAAAAATGAACTGTATTGTTGAAAAGAAACGTGCCGAAGAAGTTGTTGACCATCAACCAAAGACCATTAGGTTGCCGTTCGGAGTTAATCTCACTACCGATCCAAGATATGAACATCTTACTGGGGAACGAATGGTCATCATTTGTGAAAGTGGGAAAATCCAAAGGTATAATAATTATAGTTAACAAATATCTTAAATATATGTAATAACATTATCGTTCGACTTAGGCGCATCCCAATTCCACCGCAAGCTCGTCATCAGTTCGAGCCAGAACAAGAAGACGACTCTGATGACTCTGAGGAAACCATAATGATCCAACCAATGGTTATTCCACTTGGCCCGGCCGGTTCATTCCAAACCCACATGCCCCAACAAATGCGTCCCATGATTCGTCCACTTCCAGCTCAAATTCAACCTGAACAGCCACAACAGGTACAACGTCAAGTTCCTCAATTCCAAGTACAACGTCAGATTGAAATCCAAATCCACCCTCAACCACAAGCTCAAATGGTCCAATCGATGCCTGTTCCTCAACAAATCCAAATCATCCCCCTTACCCCAGCTCAAACTCCTCAAATGCATCAAGCTCCTCAAACTCCAGCTCAAGTGATGCAAGTCCCACAACCCATGGAAACTCTCCGACCACCACGACCAGAGCAGCCCGAACCACAACAATACACAGAAACAGTTCTTCCTCCTTATCACGTGATGCAGCAAATTGCTCAACAAATCCTCAATCAAAGGCTTCAATTGGAGGCGCAAAGAGCCCAAGAAGAGAACATGAGGAGATACGCCGCCCAACAAGCAGCAGAGAGAATGGCTCAAGAGGAAGCCCGCAGAGAATCTTTTGTTAGAGAGGAAGAAGCACGAAGAGCCGCTGCCGTCGAAGCCGCAAGAAGGGAAGAAGAAGCACGACGAGCTGCCGTCATGGAAGCCCAAAGAGAAGAAGCCCGTAGAATAGCAATGATGGAAGCAGCTCAGAGAGCCGCTCAAGTGGCCGCAGCACAAGAAGCTGCCCAAAGAGCTGCTCAGGAAGAAGCTCGTAGAATTGCATTTGAACAAGCCCGCGAAGAATCGGCCAGAAGAGCAGCTGCCCATGAAGCTGTGCAGAGAGCTGTCCAAGAAGCTGCCAGAAGAGCCATCGCTCAAGCTGCAGCCCAACGCGCTGTCCAAGAGGCCAACAACAATATTCAACAAGACGATGACGATACCAAAGAGGTAATCTTGTTCTCTCATGATCGTAAAGCTGACTTAATATATTCGTATTCTGTTTCCTAGGATGAATCCCAGCCTTCTTCCGAACAACGAGTACCTGTAAACGCCATCCCTATGATGATGCCGCCGCGAATTCCTTTTCCAGAAGAACTTCTCCGCCAGATCAATAAACTCCAACCCAACCATGAAATGATTGTCCAGATTGCAGAAGAGCCATCTGAATCGGAAGAAACCAGGGAAATCCACGTGATGCCGCAGGAAAATCAACAAGTACCAGACAAGCTCATTCATATCCCGGTTCCCATGATGCCCCAAGAAGTCCACATTCAGCAACTTGAACAGAGCCAGCCACAACAACAGGATCCACGTGAACAACCAAATACACAAGAACAGCAACAACAACAACAACCACAAGAACAACAACAACCACACGCTCAACAACCCCAACTCCCACAGCAACAGCAGCAACCACCCCAGCAGCAGCAGCCAATTCCCCAAGAACAGCAACAAGCTATTGAAATGCAAGAACAGCAAGCCATGCCAAGCTCCGAGGAATCTGAAGTCAGGCCACACTGTAAGTAAAATATTTTTGATTTCATCCCCCATAGATCCTTTTTGACATTTTTTGATAAGAGTACTTTTGTACAAATGGGAACAATCTTTAGAGGATCTATTGAAAACTAAAGTATTCGTTTTCATGATATTTAGTAATATTTTTGTTTAATTTGTTACAGATGTACAGCCACGCTCCGTTTCAGCATAGAGGGCTGACTTTTCTATTCAAGTAACCTTCTCTAAAAAGTTTCGCTAGAGCTTACTTAATAGCAAAAAAATATATATCTATATATAATGTTAAAAAAAAATCTGTTATACAACGTTTCGGTTTAATTCTTTGTTAGGAATGCTTTCAGTATTCTATCTATAAAAAGCTTGACTAATTGATTCCATGTAATAATAACATTCTCTAACATACGTATGTAATATTATATACTATCTACCTATTCTGTAACGTGGATCTTTCAACCTGTAATTAAAGGGATTTAGACATGAGTTTTCTTACGTATATTATTATGTAAATATAGCTGGCACAGTTAAGTTGCTCCGTGTATAGGTACTTCCCCACCCTGTCCGTTTCCTTTTTTTTTTTGTTTTAGAATTAAGTTGCTAAATGTGTAAAAGTTATTGTTTCTTGCTTGTAAAAGTATTTTCGAGTGTAAATAGCTCCCTACGATTAGATGTATCTGGGTATTGTGATAGACGTACGAGAAAAGTATTTTGTAAAATTTATATAAATAAAAACTACCAAATTATTATATACGTGCACTTATTTTATAAATTATATTTACTCAAGTATAAAAGGATTGACAGGTTCGGGAAGTAAAACATATTAGAAAATCTTCAAAAGGTTCTTATAATTAATAGAACTTTTATATCTAATCCTGAGTATCATTCTATTGGATGTGTATTTATTATTATTACTGGTAAGTAAATAAATTTAGAATTGTGCGCTTAGCGAAATTTACACAAAAAAGAACCGATACTTTCTGCGTCTTTTTAAATCTGTAATGCTTACCAAATCTTCAAATTTTTGAAAAAGATATAGTAGAAGCAATTAAGAATGACATGCACCTTTGCTTTCGGTTGTCACTTTTTAAAGTTTATCTGGAATTTCATCTCCATCCCTGACTGTATAGCGAGGCACACAGTTAGAATTAATAGAACATCAGTTAGGCCAATGTTTTCCATCTGTGTAAAATGAATGCGACAAGCCCCGCCTCTCGCGTATTTGGGGGTTCATATCATTCTAAGCTACCTATACATCGTGAACATAAAACCGTATTCAAGATTCGGTTTTTAATGTACTCACTTAGTAATTAAAAATATCAACAGAATTGTTTCAGGAAACAATGTAATAAATTTGACCATTTGATTTCACAATTCTCAATTTTCGTAATAAAATAATAATTCGAGATTACATTAGCGATAGGATAGGATAGTATAAGATTGTTACACTGTAGCAATTAATTTCATACAATATCCAAACTGCTAAAATGTTCAAATGCAAAGCAGCCCTTGAAGTAGTGTTAACAGTATATCTAGTATGTTTAGCAATCGTATTTAGTACCGGTAAGCATACCAAGAAATAATTATTATAATTTTTTGGCCTATTAACTAAATAATTTAGTTTTGCTCAAATAAGTGCACACATTGTTTAAATATATATTAATTAGATGGTGATTTGGAAGACACAACAACACCAGAATGTGTGTCGGTAACCAAAGAATTGTCAATATTTGACACAGTGTTTGGTGGAAAAGATGCAAAAGCAACTGATTTTCCATTTGTGGTAAGCTCTGTTTGCAACTGCTCAACTAGCACGGACAAATACGTAGTAACTTTACAAGATTCTCATAAATTATTTAACAATAAGATATTTTCTGAAACATTATTCTATTAAATGGTTGAATGTGTTTAAGGTTTTCATTTATCGACGTATACTTTACACAAATCGATTTCCAATTTGTGGAGGTACTATTATCAGTGATACATGGGTGTTAACGACTGCTAATTGCCTCATAGGGTATGTAGTAAGTATGCATTACATGATAGAAAAAGTATGATGCGTGATATCCCTACTGCTACTGATTTTATCACGATCATTGACCTAAAAAACGAAATCTAAAAATTGTAATGGCAAAATTTATCTACTAGTCTGTTCAACGACGTGTTACGGAAAAACTTACACTGGTTTGTACTTTTAAATAATTAATTAAATAATTTTAGACGAACTGTCGCTGGTCAGGTAATAGCAGGATCTGTAAAAAGGAATAGTTATAAAATGAAAAATGTAAGAAGAGTCATTATGACCGTTATTCATCCAAACTTTGATCCACTAACAGATTACAGTAATATTGGGTTAGTAAAAGTAAGTCACATCAATCAATTTAATAATCAAACGAAATCACAATCCAATTTAAAATCATAAATTCATGATGCAATGCCACCTAACTTGCTACAAATAAAAAATACGTTTTGTTTTTCTTTTTTCACATGTACAGGTTCGTGCCAACTTTTGTTGGAGTTTACACATACAGCCGGTGAAATTAGCTAAAGAAGGTACAGCCCTTTCATCAAAAGTGTTAGGAAATGTTGTCGTGTGGGGACAGGTAAAATCTTGTATATTCTACGAATCATTATGTGATTGCATACTTAAGATGAAATGAACAGCGTTCTGTAAATTCATAGAAGCTTTCTTCTATACCTTTGTCGTCTTCGTTTAGTTTCTGTAGCGATGTGACCTCCAGTTTGACCGGCGCAAAGTAGAAAAGAACAGCACTAGGCCAGAAAAGAAAGGAGACAACTCTCGGCCAAACTCTTAACCGGTGAGGAGCGTATAATCCGTACAGTACTGCACGGAAAAATTGACCATTTTGTCCACTAGAATTGCATTGCTCAAATGTGCTGTTATTGGTACCATTTACTACTGAAAATATCAACGAGATGTTTATTTATATTTGAAGACATATTAAAGGCTTTAACGCTTGTTTTCGACTCGCACTACTATTCATGATTGAACAAAAGTTTTGGCAGGTACTGTATGAAAAAGTATGTTTAATGAACAAGAGTCGAGGGTATAATGAGCTTTTTCTTCTCTGCCTACGATTATGCCAGCGCGCATCCACGATCCTGGAAGGGGAGCACCGCTAGAGAAAGTAAATGAAGTATATCAATTTTTGTTATCCTAACTTTTGATAACCTAACCTAACTTTTTAACTAATATTATAAATGTCATACATTGTCAGGTGTACAGAAAGGACATTAGAACTTTGGCGAGGACGATTTTTCATGCAAAGCCCGCGAGAACGAAGACATGAACCATTAACTGTTGTGGTTTTGCCGGGTCCTGCTAATGCCGGGTTCACGGTTATCAGGAATCCGGCAAAATCACTGTCCGGTGCATTTCTAGTCGTGATGTAGATACAATAAATTATTATTATAGTGATTATGTCGTAAAATGGTTAGTGATTAACCTCATATGACGTAACTAACTAATAAAACTAGTAAAACAAATTGATTGAGGATTTAGAACCATTTCAGTTACACCTATCTATCTCTTTCTTGTACATTATTACCGAATGTCCTTCTAGATACAATTAACACAATTGCCGCATTTATCTCATTTTAGAGTAGAGGTGGAGACATATCGACTGTTCTTGGACTCGAAGAGGTTTCGATATTAACTGGAAAGGAATGTTCAAACGGTTCAGAAATTATTTGTTCCTTCAACGAAAAGAATGGCCCTTGCGGTGTAAAGTTGACATACATTAATTTATTATATTATTATGTTGTCTGTTTGTAATACGTTTTCAGTAATTATGTCGTATCTATAACCTTTTTAGGAGGATTCGGGATATCCACTTCTAATAGGAAAGGCGTTACAGATTGGAATTGTGTCACACGATCTACAGAAATGCGGCGAAAAAAATACAATTACAAAGTACACCAATGTGGCTCATTTCAGGAAATGGATTAATGAAATTGCCGATGTATAATTAATCATGAAAAAATATTTATGTATTAATTACATCAACGATATTATTAAGTTGATTTATATACATCTGTATAAAATGAAGATAATTATTATAACTACATGCATACATTAACTAAACTTCTTCTTCATTCAATATTGTCTCTTAAATGCTTCGAGAAACAGATGATAAATAAACTAAAAATTTACTTGATTTTACATTGTTTTTTCAACTAAAATTATAACTAATTGACGCTATTCTAAATGGTAAAAAGTAGAACTCGGTATTCCTGATAACCGTTGAGAATGTATTAATGATATACATTAATAACGAACTTTATTTGAATTGGTTGAGTATACGGCATTGTTTTATAGTATAAAAGGAAACGAAAAATAGCTATCACATAATAAATGCGTTAGCAATTAATTCGTTTACTTTATTTTGACATTCGATTAATAAGGGATGATAAAATATATCGAAACTGCGATGCATATTGTTATATACCTTAAGTTTTATAATATTTGTGTAAACAAATCAGTGCACATATACCGTACTGTTAGTCAGGCATGTATCAAAATCTACTTCTTCCGTTATTTTTAAGTGTTTGGATTATCCTGTTTGCTAATTCTGGTAAATATTTTAACTCTGTATTAGTATAATCTACAATAGTTTGAAACAATTGCTGACTGGTTTAAGGATTTGGTCTAATTAATAGAAAAAACACGTTTAAACATATGACGCGTGTACGGACGGAAAGGAATCGATTTGAAAGGATCATTAATGGAGAAAAGGCTGCTATAGAAGAATTTCCTTTTTCGGTAATAATTTAGACATTAAGTAGGTACATTAATTTTACTTATTCGAACACAAAATTCATCTGAATTCTTCATAAAAATATACAAAACAACAATTGACATCATCATCATTTCCCTAAAGCCAGAAAAAAAAAACTTTTGGGTGTTTCATTCCCACCAGCCAGCAATGCTGGTGGGCGAGCAGTCCCTCCGGACTACGCTGGAAGGTAGGGCGGAAGACCCTCTTCAGCCTACTTTCAGGAATCGTGGGAATGGGTGGGTGGTGGTTCGGATGAGAAAGATGAGACGGACGAAATGAAGACAGAAGAGAATGAAAGATTATATGTGGAATATTACTGCCTCAGCATTTGCCTAAATGATCCAAGGAAACTACAGAAAAACTTGGACCAAGGCAGACGGACCCGGAATCGAACCGGCGTCCTCCCGAATGCTAAGCAATGGTCTAGACC